CGCTCCGCGCTTGCACTGCCAGATTTGCAACTCCGAGATTTTCCATTTCTGTTTTTTTTTTTTTTTTTTTCTTCATTTTTTTTTTATCCCAAGTTTTTAAGCGAAAAAGCCCCCGCACTCACTTCAGCGCTGGACATCCTTGCCAAGTGAACTTGATTCCTCAAAAGCAAAATAGTAGCAAACTTCTTGCAATTCCCCGTGCCATCGTCAGAAAACTGGTTTTAATTACCAAAACTAAAATAGCGGTGGTGCTAACTAGCAGGCGATCAAACCGCAATCAAACTTCAATCTCTGAGCAGTTAGCTATAAACTGTCAGCAATTGAAAAGTAAACCTGGTGCACACAAAGGCTCTGTTTAATTTTCTTGTTGTAATGGCTCTAAATGAGGACCCCATCACTATGCAGTTAAGCGGTGTTGCTTGTCCCCCTGAGGCGCTGATCAGTTCTTTTTAATGTGAGAAAACTGGCAGCTCGAAGCCCGTCAATGGAGCTCCCACAACAAAAGTCCTGAAAAGCTGAATGAATTGGGTTTGTAATTACTGCTTCCCTCTCCCCCCTTGCAGCTTATCTCTTATTCATTCAACATATATTATTGTCACCTAATCGCACACTCCCAACATTTTTTTTTTTTTTTAGTATCTACTACTGCGGACATGTTTGTTGTAGAAATTAAACAAAATAACCCTCCCTTCCCTCGTCTCTCCCCCCCCCCCAACAACAAAAATGTGGGAACGCCAGTGCCAGGCGCGGCTCGCTGCCGGCAAACACGCCCGGCAGCGGCTCCCCCGCCGGCCGAGAGCTTCCTCGGAAATCCCGTACGCACCAGAGCCCGCTGGAGCTTTTAATATTTGAGTTAGATCGGGCTTTAAATAAGTGAAGTGTATCTAATCACACCTATCAGTAATGGGCCTCTTGCCTTCAGTGGGACCTCCATTATATACTACTTAAAGCGCTCAGCTATCTACCTGCTACGCCGAGCCAGATAGACGGGGCTGCTGCACGTCGGAGGCGAGAAGGGATTAATCCTGAGCAACGACGCGCTGCTGCGGGGGTCCCCGCAAGCCTCGAGGGCTCCCACGGCCCCAGAGGTTGTCTCCGAGCAGAAAAAGAGGTTTTCGGCCAAGAAATGGCCGAGGGCAGGCGGCAGCCGTCCGCTCCGTCGCTGCCGGCCGGCGGCTGGTGCTGGGCTGCGGGCAGCGGCGCTCGCCGGGTCCCCACCGGCAGAAGCTGTCGGTTGCAGAAATCAGTCCGGCTATTACAACCAAATCTACTAACCGTCTAAATAATTAATTGAACCATTGCTCTTTGACCCTTGGAAAGTCCAGTAGGGACCCGTTTGTAGTAATAATACCCCCGAATGAGCCCTTGTCAAATATTCATTTAGTGGTTAATGTGAGCGATTTCCCCCTGGGACAGGCTGTAATACCAGCTTCCCAGCTTTGGCAAGAAACCCTGCTAATCTACCTCTCCAGTTCCGCAAAATATTTTAACACCCCAGTCTTTAAAAAACCGTAAAAAAACACACAGGGGAAACTATAATCTTATCCTCGGGTTCATTTCGGCTCTGTACAAGGTTAGCGAAATATTAACACTGACGCTCGTGAACCGAGCATCACCCCGACCATGGAGCACACAACAACTCACTAGAGGGAACCCAAAAGGGCTTCAATAACCAGCATAAAAACACATCCATGAGCTCTGCTACCCATCTCAGCTGCAAGAAACGACAGCCCAGTACAACGGCTTAGGTGTAAATGGGGTTACTTAATGGGTTGAATTTAAAATCAGCCGTGGACAATGGCGTTCTTCCAAGTAACACTTCAAAAAATCAAATCGTTCAGCTGGACTCGTAAAATGCTTGGGTTATCTTCTCTAAGCGCATAAATGGATGGATGGATGGATGGATGGATGGATGGATGGATGGATGGATGGAAGGAATCTGTCCAAGGGAGATCAGGTTTCAACAACATATATTTTACATCATACTCCGAAATCTAAGCTTAAACAAATTGCTCATATAAAAAGTTGCTGAATTCACTAAGCCTGAATATGTGGCTTAGTGCCTTTTGTTTAATTGTATTACCTCGCCTTCTCTATGCGAATTGTAAAAGGACCAACATTTCCAACTACCCCCCTCGAATATTTTAGTTAGCACTTCAAAAAGGGGCCAGGTTTTATTGCTGTTAATTGGCTAAGATTCCCCTTAAAAAATGGAATCGCGATATCGATTGGGCTTTTATTCCCACTTCTCTTTTCTCAGCGAGGCGAGCGGGAGCGGGGATGTGTGCTCGTTACCACGTGAATAATCCCTAGATGCATTACAAACGCCGCACAGCTCTGAAAAAAAAATATATTTTACTCGTTGCATTAATGTAAAAGAAATAAAAAGGTTGGGAATCTGTAATAAATGCTCTGCTGCCCAAGTACCGCGACGGCGCAGAAATAAAAAGGACAAAGGGAGCTTAACTACATAAACAGACAGTGAGCAAAACTCCACATCTCTTGGTCTGGCAATTTGAGTTTTCATCTGGACACCAGGCTTCAAGTAGGAAGGCCAGAACTGAGCCTAGGAAATAGCACTACCGAAAAAAAAAAAAAAAAAAAGCCAAGATGAGCCGGGTAACACTATTTGTGATTTTTTTTCCCTCCTTCCTTTCCCCTGAACTAAAGCACAATCCAGTGACCGACAAGAAATCCGAGCAAGAAAAACTGAGCAACACTTGCCCCCACTCCAGAGCTCCTGGTTTGTGCCTTGCCTAAGCGAACCATCGCATCCTTTTCTCTCCACGCACAACACACGATTAGCAGCAGACGCGACCAGTTTGCAATCACAGGGCCCCCACTCCCAGCTGATTGTGGTTTTTATTATTATTATTATCGCACCTCCTCACGCGTGTCTCCCAAAGGAACCCCCAGCCGCGTTAGCAACCCCAAATAAACGCTGGGGCTTTCGGGAGGGAGGGGGGAGCGAGGGGCTGCCACCGGGGCTGCCCCACCGTGCTGCCCACCGCCCCATGCCCGGCCGAGGCCGCAGCGCGGAGCGGCCCCTCGGCGATTGCGGTTGCAACTGTACAAAGTGAAACTCTACCTGGCACGGCTGGCGGTGCTCTCCTCCTATTTGGCGGGCGCCACCGCTTCTCTTTGGGGCTTGTGACCGGCTGCAGAGATTGTCCGAACTGGGGCTACACCGCGCTGGCAATTTAAGAAATAGGATTCAAGAAAGGGCTGTGATATAAGGTGAAAGTCTCTGGCATTCGATTTTTTTTTTTTTTTAATATATATATTTTCTGGTGGGGGTTGTTCTGTTTGTTTGCTCCATTTTTGTCGGTTCTTACCTTTGCTCAGCCGAGCCCCCCCCGCCCCCACCTCTCACCTCCTCCTGCGCTGCCCCGGAGCGAGGAGAGGAAAAGTTGAGCAAGTCCCGAACAAAGGCAGCGCTCAGCCCCCGGCAGCCTGGCCTCGGGGGGCCACGACAGGCAGCACCCCACGGGGGGGGGGACACGGAGGGGAGGACATACGGGGGGGGGGGAAAGAAACGCTCCGGCTGATCGAGCCCTGCAGGCCGGGCCACCGCGTCCCCCAGCCGCCGGCTCGGGCACGGCCCCGATGAAGGCAACAAGTGGCCACCGGCACCAGCACCGGCATCGCCACCGGCATCGCCACCGGCCCCGGGGGGCAGCGGGAGCCGAGCGGCCCCTGCCCCCCGGAGCATGGCCCGGGGACCAGGCGCGTCCCGCCTGCTGCACCTTCCCTCTCCCTTCGCTACCCACACAAATATTCACGCTCCTACATTTACAATGCTCGTTATTTCCAGTGCTCGGTTGGCCCCCGGGAGAGCTTCTGCCGCATGTATTATTAAAAACAAAAACAAAACCAAAAACAGCTTGCGTTGCAAAAATAAATCCAAGACTCAAGC